GGCCCGCTGCCCTCGGCCGCGCTTTGGGCCCGTGGTGGAGGGGTATCGTCCGCTGAGCCTTAGCAAAACTGCGAACGTCCAAAGTTGTGACAAAGCTTTCCAGAAGTTGGTGTCCCTTACGAAAGGAAGCAGCTGGTGCATAGGCACCAGGCAGACACCAGACAGACAGACACGCACACTTTCAGAAATGCCCGACGTTCCCTTTCTCAGTGGTTTGTTCATTGTTACTGCTTATGCCGGCTTTCTTTTCTTTACTGCGTTTTAATGCTTTACATAATCGCCTTTCACCCTGTAAACATCCAAAGGAAACCAAGTAAAGCACTGCCGCTATTCCACGCTGTTACTGAGTAGCCAGAACCTGCAGTTTCACCCCTTAGATGGTGGCACGCACATGCCATCCAGCCTGCGCAGGAGAGAAGAGTGCCTTTTGCTGTTAATTGAGCTCAGAGCTTCCAGTCTAGCTCTGACTCAGTCTCTGCTAAATTGAAAAGCAGTTGTCGATAAGACAATTCAGATATAGAGAAGACAAAGACAGGTAAGGGAGTATAAAACTGTCACAGTGGGAAATTAAATTTGCTTACTGCAGTAACGTGACATCTTTTTTTCTCAAAAGATCCATAGTTTCAGCTGGGGGGAAGCTTTAGGTTACAGGATACGGTGAGTCTGTTTCCTTCTGAGAAGATGGGTCATCCTTTGTCCCTACATTAAGAATGGCTGTTGCGGGTCTGTAGTAAAGGATTCATTTGTGACTAGAATATAAAATGTATGGATTCTACTAAGACCATTCTGCAGAACTAGCAGGTAAAAACCTGACCAAGGAGGGACTATGTGGCAAACAGAAGTAAAGCTGAGTCCTGCTAGAAATGTGACGATGCACGAGCGCGCCTGCCCCCCTGCACACTAAATAGCTTACGTCCAGTGAAGGATGCCTAATCATTCTTGCTAAACCAGTCAGCTTGGCATTTCTGTCCACGTTCTAGAGTATCACCAGTGTTTCTAAGATACCAGCAGCACTTGTCCTCTGCTGCCTCCCAAAACAACTCCTCTCTGGCCTGGGCTGCAACCGCTCTGTAACTTTTAAATTTGATTTATTTGTAGGTCTCTTGATGTGAATCTTCAGGCTGTCCTTCATGTTTCCCAGGTGAGGAAGAATTGTCACTGCAGTTGCCTCCATGAACAGCAGTGACTAAGTTGTTCTGCACAGCGGAGATAAGTGTCCGCTGTGGGGGCTAAAGGGACTGTAATTCAAAGCTAACCTGACAATTTGCGCATACAGCCCCTTCACTCTCTTGCTTTGACTCTCTCTCTTGTAAGTGGGAGGCAGTGAGGACTTAGTTCCTCTGGATGTTTTTGCTCTTTTGGCTACCATAATAGCCGGGCAAGATTCCAACTGAATGAAATAATGATTTCTCCTGTTACAATTCCGGCATCCCCCCTTTTTTTTTTCCTTCCCCCCCCAGATTGTTGCTCGGCAGATGATTGCACAGGGGGTGCCAGGTGCTATTGTAAATGTCTCTAGCCAGGCATCTCAGCGTGCTCTGCGGGATCATGCTGTTTACTGTAAGTATGTGTGGTGTCAGCAGCGCCCCTCTCATTTTTGACTAGCTGGAGACCCACAGCCACCAAGCTGCTGGCTGCCGATTCTGGGCAGTGAAATACTTCTATGTGCTCCAGAGCAAGTGCTGTGCACTTAAACGCCTCCTGTTTTTCCCTTCTCTTGAAGGTTCCACAAAAAGTGCTTTGGATATGCTGAGCAAGGTAATGGCAATGGAACTGGGACCCCACAAGGTAGGATTCTTTCTGAGAGAAAGAGAAGTGTGAAAGCTGAACCCGAGCATATGCTCTCAGAGCAATCTGGTTAGACTGTTTGTTGCTCTTGGTCCCAGATTAGGGTGAACACTGTGAACCCCACGGTGGTTATGACCGACATGGGGAGAATTAACTGGAGTGACCCTCAGAAATCTGCTGCCATGATTAATCGGATTCCGCTGGGAAAGTTTGCAGGTCAGTGGTGTAGATTTGTCGCCGGCCAGGCTGGGCTCTTTTGTCGTATCCAAGCCTTCCCTCTAATTGACATCACAGCCATAGGTACCTTGCTTCTTTTGTGGGCAAAGTCACAACTCTGCTGAATGGCTGTGGTTGAATTCCTGAAGCATTTGATGAGGAGAGGGCGAGAATCAACCTTACCTCCCCTCTTCTACAGCCTTCTCATCTTGGGACAAGTGAAATGCACTTACTCTGTTGTTCATAAATATGACTGGGAGGGGAGCATAGGTGCTTGCTGTGAACTACGTATCATTTGATCGCAACAAGGACTTTTTCATGTCCAGCTCTCAGCCACACTGTCCTGTCCATTAAGCGCAGTTTGGGGGCAGAGATATTTCCCTGCTCCAATTACACGTAGAGGTCAAAGGCATACCTTTTGGGATGCTTGTTTTCCTAGTACAATTTGAGGGGTGCAGTGGATGTTCTCTGTGTTTGATTCCAGAGGTGGATGATGTGGTGAACAGCATTCTCTTCCTGCTGAGTGATAAGAGTGCTATGACAACTGGCAGCTCGCTGATGGTTGATGGGGGATTTCTTGTCTCCTAAGATGACACCTGCATTTCACACCTGGCCTTAATTTTCATACTAGTACTGCATAGATGTAAACTGGATAGAAAACAATGACACAGACCCAGTCTTGCTGGAGAAGAGGGGCAGCAGGGCTGGAACCTGTACGAGAAGCGAGGCAGAAAACTACCTTTAGAAGGCTGCTATATAATAAAGCTCACATACGCCGTCATGGAGAATGTTTATTGCACCAAATAAGGTTTTATCTTGTCACTCTACATGATGATTAGAAATTGGACCTGTCTTTCTTCCAACCCTATTCCCCCCCCACAACCCTTCAGAAGCTCTCCCTGTTCCATCCAAATCCATAGAGCCCGCCTGCACTTTCAGTGGGAAGGGAAAGAAGTTAGCAGACTCCTCATTGCTTCCTTTGCTGTCTTTAGTAGAAAAAAATAAAACAGAGGCAACAACCACAGCCCTGCTCTGCAGAGACTGGATCTGGGGGTGGGGGGAGGCCCTGCTAAAGACTGATGGGAGGGAGCAGCACCACGCTGTCCTAGGGTGTGCACACATGAAAAGGCAAAAACATCGATTGCACAGAGCTGTTTCACTCACTGAGTTTGGCTAGTACCCAATGAAGCACCTAATGATTAGTTCTTCAGCTTCATATCTTATTTACTTCAACCCCT